GCCAGCACCCCCTGACTTGCGGCAGGACCTGGAGCGTTGTGCTGTCAGCCCAGCGAAGCCAGCGAGTGCGGGATCAAATCATTTAACTTCTCCATCCCTTGCTCCCCCCTCCCTCAAACAGGATTGCGGGCGTTGGCCCGTGCCCCCTCGGGGGTCTGCCCGCGCCGGCCAGTGCGAGCTCCGAGGGCGCAGAGCAGCTGGTGGATGCGGGCTGTCGCTGGAGGGCTGGCCCGGGTGCTGGTGGGACAGGAAAGCGCTTGGCCCCAGTGGAGATCGCAGCGAGGAAGGAAGATGGATCTGTTTTGCAAAGGGTGTTGGCTTTTTGGCAGTGGGGGCTTACTGTAAGCGCCGATTCCCCTGGCATGTTGTGGTGGTTATCAAGGGATAACTGTGATTTTTCTCAGTATCTCCACCTCTGTTTTAAACCCAGGTTTGAAAGTGTGGTCGTAACTAGCCTTTTATATATAGCTTACTATGAGGAACAGAAGTTGAGTCATCTCTTCTGTCTAACATCCTGCTTTGAGTACTTTAGGAGTAGCTTTGCTGTGAGTGTGGCCTCCGAAAAAGCGGAGGAGAAGAGCTAGAAATAACTGCTCACAAGTTGTCCAAATCTGACATTCTTGCCCCTGGAAGTCAGATTGGTGAACGTCCAGAGTGCTTAGTGTGCCACCTGGGAGGTGAAGCCTTTTCATCCTGTTGATAGAGACGTTGAAATAGAAACTTTAGGCAGGGGAAAGGTCTGGCTGGTTAGTTCAACTCAGTTAGCGGGTAGGAGGTAGAACCTCCCTTGGTCCTTCTCTCCATTTTTGGTTTCAAAGTCTGGGGATAATGTTGTGGTATGAAGCCGCTCCTTGGAGGTGCCTTCTAGGAGTGGCCAGTTAGGAAGAAACACAGCTGGAGAGATTTCTTTTAGACTTTCTGGTATGTTTGTAGTATTTTTCTGGGAATGTTTGAAATTATCAAAGCATTTAGAGGGACAGGATATGGGATGCTAAAGTTGCAATCTGGGGTGGGGGAAGGACAATTCTCAACCCTTTGAAGCTTAGCACTCTTTGCATTACATCTTACTATGGTACCATGTGGGCAGGAATTGGCAATCTGTGACTCTGGGCAGTTTGGTCATTTTCATTCTGTTAAGTGTTGCCCTCCTGACATGTACCAACTGGAGCTTTTGGGACAAGCATAGCACTACTTTGATTTTTCTCCTCCCTTCTTAGGGCCGTATCCGAGAGGATGAAATGTTCAGCAGTTTGGGAGGAGCTGGCTCCTTTAAGGAGCCCATAACCATGTTGGGTCCTGGCCATCAGGGTTTATTTTTGTAGGGGTCCTGCGCGTAGGTCTGGTACTTGCCACCTGTAGAATGTGCCCCTGGATCATCTGTTCCTTTTGATCTTGTGAGTCAGTGAACGCTGGAGGGGCAAGGGGAGGTGTGGAGTTATCAACGCCGATATTGGAGGGTATTTGCCTGACGCTATCAATACAAATTGCCCTGGTTTCCAACTGAAATGTGGTTTTGGTGGTAGAACTATATGCAGACGGTAGGAGAAAATAAGCAGCTTATCCAATGGTGGATTATTTCATTTAGGGAATCTCTTTGTACTGATGCCAGGGGAAGAGGATTAGTGGTGACCTGTAACGGGTATGGTAAGGAAAAGCTCCAGAGATTGCTACAGCTGCTGTGGCTGCTCTTGGATGCTGAGCCTTTCTCAGTGACATGGTCCCCTCCTATTTTTCTGTCCTATGATATTGATGTATTTTGTAGCAAATAGCAATTGCACCTGACTTTGTGGCCGTGAGTGCTGATCAAGGGCTGGAGGGCTGGCATTCTTTTTAGGCGGGGTTTGTCTTTTGTTGCTAGCTTTCTCTGTAAAATTAGCTGTGCTCAGTTTTTTTACTTAAGCCCGCCCAAGCCTCCTGACTTTTCCCAAATTAAACTGAAAGCATTGGTTCATAAATACCCTTCTTATTCTGCTCAGAGAAGGAGAATTGGCTAGTGAGTGTGCATTGACATAGCTACTATTAATTTTCAGTGCTTTACTTTTTTTTTTTTTTTACATTTTTAAGTACAGGATGAGTAATGGGGTCTCACTTAGGAAATTGTCTGGGTGGCCTGATTTGTCTTCACGCTTAATGTCTAACTTCAAGTCGTATTCAAAGTTCAAGTTGAAGTCTGTGGTTGAAAATTACAAAGATGTTTTCCAGGAGCTGAAGTCTAGCGGCTGAGATGGTGACAAGAGATTGTAGTACTTAGATTTGATTATCTGTGAACAGGATATGCTTAGTGAGGAGTTTTTCCTGGGTTTTAGTTCTTGTTCATCCTGTTACAGTTAACTGCCCATTATTCATGCAGACTCTTCTGAAGGGGCGAGTTGAGTGTTATCTCTACGAAAAGGGCAGATAAGCCCTGTTGTTGTAGGAGTTGATTCATAAGAAATGTAAATCAGTGTGGATAGTTACAGCTGATGCAACCAGTTCTATGGAAGCCAGTGAAGCTGTGCCAGTTCATGTCAGCGGCAAATCCCTCTGCCTGACCCGTGCCACTCTCCTGTACTGCTGGACAAGGTGGGCTCATCTGCTCCTTCTACAGCGCCTGGCCGTCTCTGCAGAAAGCCCCATGAACTTCTGCGGAGTGCCCATCAGTACTAGTGCATCTAGAAGCAGCGTTGGGAAGGAGTTAGATACTTTATTATAAGTGTGTGTCTATATAGGAAACAGCGGCAAAGTAGCCCTTTAAGCCATTTTCCAGGGAGGTGGATTTTCAGAGAGGACTGATGAGAAGCTTTAGCAACTGGAGCAACTATCGTCCATTGCAGGGCTCTGTCTTTGTGCAAGGTGGAGAACGTGAGCTGTTCGCATGCGAGGTACGAACGGAGACAGGCATTTGTTGTGTCCTTGTTGCTTGGTTGTGCATTCTTCTACATCTGTTATTTAGTCCGTGGTCATTTTCTCAATGTTTCGGATGATATAGAGAGGCTACTGTTTTTATTCATAAAGCAGTAGTTGAAAAGTTCACAAAAACAACCACCTTATTTTTCTTCTCTTCTGACTCCCACCCCTTCTCTCTCACACGCCCCTAGCAGCCATCAGCCTTCATTTTGCACAGCCCGGAGTTGCAGTTGCTGAAGGCAGTGTGAGATGACACAGCTGAAAGTTCCCAGCCGTAGTCTAGTGCCGAAGTATTAGTCAGCACGGCATGAAAATTCACTTCTTTCCAGGTAGCTTTCACCCATAGTAATGTTTCTTGCTTCTAGAATGACTAGGACAACAGGGGTAACATCTGTCCTTGGTTGCACAGTGTCCTAATTTCCTATCTAGCATACAACATTGCTTCATGATGCACAAATGCAAACTTCTGGATTTTTCCTTCTTTGCCAACAGCAATCTAAGAAGCCTCATTTTTGCAATCCCCTAGTGTTTCTTGGTATCTTTAATTTATAACATCTAACCTTAATGACTGTGACTGGAATTTAAGCTTTTATCCTCTCTTGAGAGTACATATTTGATGCAGAAATAATGTCCTGGAGTCTAAAATGCTACCATCTACAGTAGTGGTGGTGTGATTTGAGATTTGTGCTGCAGATAGGAAATACCAGACAGCTATTTAAAAATATTAGAAAGACTTTTTAAATTTTTTTTAATTTTTTAAGCTTGAGAGAGCTGGCTGGGGTGATCTGGTTGGTGAAATTCGTTCATAACTTGACTCTCTTTTGCTTTAGAGCGTGTTTTTTATTTGCAGAATTTGGCCCTTAGCAATGGTCCTTGGGTACTCTGCTCTCTGGAGCAGCTACCGGCTTCTGATTCTTAGCCTGGGATGGTGGCCTTTGAGCTGCACTTCTAGCGGAGTCATCAAGTGTGCTTAAAATAATGAATCAGTCCATGAAACCGTGAGTCTTGCGCATGTGGAAAGGGACAGCAGAATGTTGTAAGGGTTCTCTTCCCTACTTGATACCCTGGCATTGGAAACTGCCCTGCTGATTTTTGCTGCCTTTGTAGGAATGTTGAATTTGTACAAATGAAGAGGGAAGGAAAGGAGAGAAAGCTGTCTGAGTTTATCTGCAAAACTTACAGGTGCCTGTTTGTACCAGACTAAAGAACCATTTTCTTGTCTAGCTGGTGTTGTCAAGCAGCCCTTCATTTGTAAGCAGTTCAGGATACAGCAAGGATCCCAGAGAAGCGGTCTTTCAGTATTGGTAGCAGAATTGAGCCCCGTGGTTAGAGCTGGTATGACACGGCAGGGAGAGAGAGATCACCCAGCAAAGCTGAGAGGGAGGAATGTTTGCACAAACCAAAGCTGCAGGGAGTGTGAGAAGTGCTGCAGCCTTTCTGTTTTCTGCAAGGCTAGATAAATAACACTGAACACGACGTTTTTATCAGGTGAAAGTCCTGGAGTTAAGGCAGATCAGAAGCTGTTTTGCAGGCCCTTCTGCCAGTCTGCTAACCTTTGCGTGGTAAGCTGGGTCGCCTTTCAGCAGGAAGGCTGTAGTGAAACGGAGGCTGGGGCGATAATCCCCGATGAAAAGTCCTTCATGACTTTCGGAACTTCGCGGCTGCTGGACCGAGCAAAATGGGTGGAGTTTTCCCTTTAAATAGCTGTGCCTGAGAGACTGTTGCTGCTGTTGTGGTGACACTTGGGTGTTGCTAAGGCTTTAGGAAGTCAGTGCTGACATATCTGTATTGGTGGTATGCTCTGCGTGCACTGAAGAAAAATGGATCGTACAGTTTCACCACCACAGTTCTGGCCTCTTCAAAGGATGTGGGCGTGGGTCAGAGATTTCAGGTGGCAGAGAACAAAATTCTTAGCCAGAAAATGTGTCTGGTGTGCCTGGGGGTTTTTCATGTCCTTACTGCTGTTCCCAAGTTGGGAGGGTTATGAGAGGGTGGGAGGGGTAGCACTGCAGTGTCACCCGCTCTGTGTGTGTGCGTGCACGTGTCCTCAGACTGCACAGGCTGGTCCTCAGGCTGACCTTGAAACTCCCCGGTTAAAGAAAGTCCTGTAACTGAGACCTGTGCAGGCTTCTGGGAGTGTTGGGGTGAGTGGGTAGATCTGGGAGAGAAACATGCAACTCGAGGACTTTCATCAATTCTCTTTCTATGTGAACGCACAACTTGTTGTTTGCAGTGATTTCCTCTATCGGAAGAGCCCCACAGTGCTGCAGCCCCTACTTGCATGGCTTTGCACTTCAGAAGACTTGAAGGATGTCATTTTGCAGTGCTTTGTCCAGCTTCCTTAGCAACTTTAGGCAAATCACCTTTTCTGTATGAAGTTTCATCATTAGTTAAATGAGGGTAACTCTTACCCTGCTGCGGGGGAGCAGGGGCGTGTTGCGAGGCCCACTTCGCATTTGTAAACCACTTTTGCTATCCTTGGAGAGCCTCCATTATGTGAGAGTCCACATGATTAACAACCCCCGGCTGTCAAGGAACACTCAAAGCGTGGTGTACCTAGAGCGATGTAGTTTGAGAAGATTGCAAAGAGGCATAAAATGTTGTCAGTGCTTTTTAGATTGCATTTGACAATAGTCTGCTAAAGTAGTATGTTCCATCCTGTATGCAAATTGAACTTTGTCAAATTGTCTTACCACAAGATATCTATATTTGATACTATATTTCTTTCTCACAGATTCTGCCTGGCTTGTTCATTGGCAACTTTAAAGGTAAGATTAGTTTTATCATTATCTCTAGGATTACTTAGCAGGGGTCTTAAGGTGTTGTTTCGCAGGCCTATGGAATTCTCTGATGTCTCTGCAGCTTCTTTAACCCCATCTTGCTTCATTTCTGGATTCACCTGGTAGCACTTAAAGAAGAACTTGTTTGCTCTCTCATCTGTGCGCTGTGCTGCAAGTACTTTAAGAAGAGAAAAATGAACACCATCTCCTCGGAGCATGCTTCAGCTGGAATTCCTAAACATTGGCCTGCCTTAAACGATTCCTGTGCTTGGCAGGCAAGCCTGTGAGCTGGGCAGATTCTTTGTAAGCCTTATTTCAAGCCCTCCTTATAAGTAAAGGCTTAGTATGCCTCCCGCTCATTGCTTTTGCTATTTTGGTTATTTATAACAACTGCTAAAGACTTCTGTTGTCACTGCTTGCGAGACTGGTAGGTCTGCAGATTGCTGTCTGACCACTGATACTCGTGATGTCCATGTCTTGGATCTAAGATTCTCTGGATTTTTTTCCTTTTTGCATGAGGTTTATTTTTTGTGTACAGAAAGACAGAACCATATTTAGAAAACACAGGAAACTTTATGTAGACATCCAAATAAATGACCTGTTCTCAAAGCACTCTGTTAGCATCAGTTCCAGCTGACTGTCCCTACTCAGAAGTAAACCGGTTGTGCCTCTACAGTCGTTTTGATACATGTAGACCCTGTATTTCCTATGGTTGGGTACAACAGCACAGCAGGACTAATAGGGGCTACTGCGATAACCTGTCCTTCCTGGTCTGTCTGATGTCACAGCTGGTCTGTCTGTTAAGATTGGACAACATCTGCATTGGATTTAGGTGGTGCTGCATCTCCTCTCTGCCTCGTGCACACCCTTCCTCCCCCCTCCATCCTGAAACCTGTGAGTTCGGTGGTTTTTGCCCAGTTTACCTGCCTCTGGACCTGCTGACCCCTGTTGCTGGTCCAGTGCTTGCTGCCCCTTGCGAAGTGGAGCCCATCACCTTGAGAGGCAGCCCGGAGGTACATGTGAAGTTAAAAGCTGCCTTTTGCCACACTGGGATGCAAACACAAGTACAATGGCTAGTGTGTGAGAGGGAGTTAATCATGCCATGGTAAGGAAAATGAGAGGATGGAGGTGAGTTTACACTGGTGGAAGTAGGTAATGAAAGGAGGAAAAAAAGGAAAATAAGGGGAAGAGGATAGTTTTGAAAACACTTTGGATGGACCACTGCATGTGCCAGTGACAAAACTAACTTGGTCGCAGCCATGTTGCTTCCTCTTTTTGTTGTCTTTTTTTTTTCTTTCCTGTCAAGTAATTTAGGAGAGGGGCAGGATGGGAGGATGTTTGATAGTGGAGTCCTCTAGGTTTCAAGCTGTTTGGCAAGGTGGGCAGGATGGGCCCAGGGAACGTGGCGCTCAATCTGCCCCACTCACTGTGGCAGCCCTGCTGGTAAGCCCTTGACAGTCCGCCCAGGGGAGTGAAACTCAGCCGGAGCATCTGTTTCTTGGTGCAGTTCTGTTTTCAGCTGATGAATAGTTTGGCCAGCTGAGGGGAGTTGGCCCAGGTTGCGGAGTGAGTCAGCATCTCTGCCGATGCCAGGGCCTGTGACCCCCTCGCTCGTGCTGCTCTGGCCACTCAGCTGTGCGCCTTGCAAATGGTCCTTAAATGGCATGCCAGGCCACTTCTGTGCATAGAGTAGAGGCGTGCCCATGAAGGTGGTGTGAGGAGGCAGTGTTTCTGGGAGTCTGGCTAAAAAAAAGCAGAGGCTGAAATGCTTCAGCTACCTCCATAAAAGAGAGTAAGGATGGGTTGGCTTTAAGCTCAGTGTTTGTGTTATGGAGTCTGTTTTTCAAATTGATTAAAAACACAAACAAAATGTTTGTTTATGTATTGCTATGACCTTTGCTCACATTGCATTTAATCGTTATGTTCTACCATCGTGAGTATCTGTCGTTATAATCTCCAATTAGCTACCGTACCTGGAGAGGAAGAGAGAAGATTGGTGTTATAGTACTCCACTAATACAAAAGCAGACTTTGAGTTCTGTCTTTTTCTGCATCTCCTGCCCCTCAACATCCCCGCCCTCTGCCTCGCTGCTTAAGAGCAATTGCAATGAGCTCTCTGTGCAGTGAAGTCATCCCGTTTAGGAGCAGGCTGTTGGTTAATCACCCATGTATTTTTCTGGAGGAGTTTGATTACCTTGTTCTTGGGGCATGTTCTGATTTGTGGTGTTTTTTCGAAAAGTGACTAATGAATTTTGAGGCTGCCATGAAGGGGATCATTGAAAAATACTCAGCAGCAAAACAGTTGGGATTGGTTAGAGTATCCTGATTTGGGCAGCTGAAATGTCTAGATACTTTTAAAGACATGGGTTTACAAAATTATTTCCTGTAATGCACTTTTGAGCAGTCTCCTATTTCTTCAGCTTGAGACCAATAGCTTGAATTGAATAAAGTTACATCTTGTCAGTAAGAAGAGTAACACTGAATCCCCGGCGTTGTGCATCTCACCCAGACACAGGGCTGAGGCATCGTGGCACCCTCCGGGTCTCTGTGCAGGGGGTAGAGAGGAGGGAGCTTCTCCAGAAGATGAGTCAGGGGAATCTCTCTGAATCGCTCTGATCTGCCCTCTGGAGGATAGCCTCCCCTCCTTTCTCCAGTGACTCTTTCGGGAGCCTGGGCAGGCAGGGTTTCCATAGCTAGGTCGAAATACCGTTCTGCGCACACTCCTGTCTCCCTGCTGCATGGGAGACCTCTGGGGACACTGACAGAATGGGAAGAGGCACAGTTGTTCCAGATGGGTGCCTTCTTGCTGAGTGAAAGCAGGATGTTAAAGATGTTAAACGCTGTAGTTCTGGAGGGCTGTTGTCCGGAGAAGGCATTCAGCAATTGTTCCGATTGGGGAATTATCATTCAATATGTCTGCTTTATGTATAGGGTTTCTTACTGTCTTTTTAGGCCTAATCAATTTAAAAACAATCCATGACAGAGGAAGTGCAAACTCCTCTGCGTTTGACTGGGAGATAAACTGAGGCCCAAGAAAAACTTGTGAAATAAATCTGTGGCAGAAATGGGAGTTGAGCTTGCTGCTTCTGGTTTGTCTGCTCCTGCTGCGCGAACCTTTAGGCACATAGAATGAGAGGGGCTTTTGTAACCACCCTAGGGTCTTTAGGGTAGAAAGTTATGTGTAGTCCTGATTATGGAAAGCACTGAAGTACATGCTGAAATCCCCCTAAGTCCGCAGGACTTGAGCATGTCTCTGGAAAACTTTCCTGAAAAAGCATAGATCTCGGCATGTGCTTAAGTGCTTGTTATCTTATAAGATCTATAAGCATGATTCTGCTCATCAATAGCATGTTAAAATTGTGGTATGTTCCTGAGAGAGTGTATTTGAGATTGCACAGCTAGAGGGCAGAAAAATTCAAGAAGAACCACAGATGTCCATACAAAATACCAAGACTGAGTTTGGTCTGAAAGCTCAGAAGGAGACAGAGCTCTTGGGCTTCTTCAGTTAAAGTTAAGGAGGACTTATTTCTCTGCAAATGGGAGGATGGGGGGCTAAGAGAAAAACGAGGGAAGAGAAAGAGGAAGTTAACTCTTCTTCCTACCTCTAGTTTAGGGGAAATTTTGGTTTGTTCCAGTTGTACCTTACAGATTAAATTCAGTCCTCAAAAAACAAAGAATTTATTGTGGGATTACATGCCCATGTGTCTTCTGCACTGGAAACCTGATGTCCCTTGAAAGGCACCTGTGCTCACGATGAAAATAGGTGCTTTGTTCCTTAAGAGACTGATATGACAGGGCTTTTTAGCCTGTTTCTCTGCACAAATAGAAAAAATACCATTTCTTCTGATAGGAGGTTCTAAATGGGTGCTTGTTTGGTTCCAAACCGAAAGGTGTAGCAGTAGCAAGCACCAGAGACTCAAGAGTGTTTCTACCTTGAATATTAAAGAGCTTGTGTCCTTCCTTGCTTGTAATCATATTTGGAAGATTAAAGTTTTTCCAATGGAATATTTGGGGGCTTTTTGATTTGAAGGGGAAAGCCACAATATGAGGTTTAATTCCCCCCAAAGAGTCCGGTGTTACTGTGGATGAGCTGGAGAGTCTTGGGAAAGTTTCTGCCCTTCCCGTTACTAAGTGTATAAAAAGGCAGTGCCCACCAAGTGGTTCTGCTGTGTTTCTAGATCCAATTAATTCCTGTTATCAGCTGCTTAATTTTTGGGGGAAAGTTCCCTTTTCTACAGCTTTATTTCAGGTACTGAAAACAGGAGAGGGTGAAGATACCATCCCCTTTTTCAGGTTCATCTTTTGAAGGAAGACATTTTACAGGTACTCTCATTAAACAGAGTACTGGACCCTTCTCCGCACCTTTCTCACTCCCTGAAAAGGTCCTTCTGAGAGGCTGGGACAAAATACGATTAGAACATAGTGTGAAGTGGGGACAGGAGATGTGGAGTTCTTGTGTGCTTAGTTTCTGTGTGTGTGTCTCTCTCTAAGTGTGGATCACTGGACTCTGGAACAAAGCTCTCCCGATGGGAGACCATTCTCAGTAATAGCTCTTAGTGCTCTAAACCACTGGAGAGGAGGTTCTCCTTTAGATGTCTATCTCTAGTTCTCTCCAAAGCAGAAAATAAGTGTAGACAAAAAGTTGCTTTATTAAAAAAAAAAAAAAATTTGGTGGCAATGATGATGTAGTCTCTATACATCTGCAGATTGAGACTCAATACTGTTGTACGTACTGGGCTGACTTGCCTTCTCTAAGCGCTTACCTTGTTTTTGTATACATAACCTAAAATTTTATACTGAAAACTTAATACATACTAGCTTACTGTGTTACAGGAGTATATCTGTCGTTTCAGACTAACAACAAAGTCAGAAAGGTGGGCTTTGGAGGAGGAAGAAGGAAGGATGTCTTTAGTTTGGGATAGCTGGCTAATGGGAGGAAAGGTGACAAAATGAAAAGAAACAAACTAATCTCACTTACTTTGTGGGGACATTTAATCTTCTAAATTCACAAGTGAGTTGCAGTTAAATGTTGGAGATCAGGCCCATATAACTGTAATGCTTATTTTCCCGTTCCTGGCAGGATGCTTTTGTATTTTGTTGTTAGCAGTAGAGGTGGAAAAGACTTTACAGCTGTTTCTTCCCATCTAACTCTACAAAGGGAGAAATCTTTATTCCTCACCTTGCATCTCTATGGCAGTAGTAGAATAGTAAAGTAAGACAGAATGGTTGAATGTATGTTTGAGACTTCATCACCTTAGTATTGGAGTCCTTCAGTCATTGATGTGTCGTAATTGGAGTGGTTGGAGCAGTATTGTCTCCCTTTTGCCTAGGGGGGATGGAAGCACACTATGCTAGGTTATTTGCTCCCCAGCCACACAGTAAAGCTTCCCAGAGCTGCAGGGAAACAAATTCTGACCACTCCCTCCAGGCCCATTTTGATGACTTTGCCATTGCTTTTGCAATTAAGTATTTGCAGTTCTCTGTGTATGAGCAGAGGTTAAGCTCGGAGTCATAGAATGAAATTGAGGGAAAAGAAGCTGAATATGTGCATGGGAGGGGGGGAGGAAGACTCCCCCAGTGTGAATTGTGTCCTTTTGTGTGAAGAGAGAGTTTCCTGAAGGCTTTACTCAAAAGTCCACATCAGCTGAGAAGCGTTTTCACTGTATGAAACAGAATAATAGGTAACCTACTGTGAAGAATAATACTACATTTGAGGGACCCTTTAGGGGTGCACAAGATGGACTCTGATAGGTTTCTTTCATCTTTAAATTTGGAAATGGGGTGTTTCATGCTGTGATTTCAAAATGTGGGCCTGCATGTGGTTGTACAGCACTGTGCTACAGTAAATAAGTTAGAATTGCTGTGGTAATGGTGATTCCTCAGGCTTTTGGTGGTCCTTTACATAACCCCTTAATTTCTTTTGTAATTTACGGTATGAGACCGTGAGTGACAGGATATCTGATTTGTACTGCTGTTTAAATAGCTTTGTCGTAGTATCTGTGGAGACTTACAGCAGGTGCTAGGGGAATTTCCCCTTTGTGAACTGTTTAAAGCTTAGATCCAGATAATACAGTCATTGGCTGGGAAGCTTTTTCTCCTCTACTTTTGTGATTTGAATGGTTGTTTCCTAAATATATTGAGGACCTGCTGGTTACCCTGGAATGTAGGTCTAGGATAGCCATTTCCAGTTTGTTCCTAGGAATATCTGAAATCTCACTGTCTTACTGTATAGTTTTGATTTGTTGAAATTTCTTTAGCCTAAGTCCTTGGTTAACTGAAGAACTAAAATCTTTCAGTCCTTTTGAGTTGTACTGTGTCCATTAGGCCTTTCAGACTGGTTCAAAGCAGTCAACATTTAATTTGGATCATATCTCCTTTTAAAGCTGTTTGCCTTGTGTGGCAAGCCATTTCTTATCATGTGGGTCATACTGATAATTAGAGATTGGGGTCTCATTGTGCTAGGTATGCGTTGACACCGTGAGTTCCAGCCAGCAGGCTCTGAAATCTGCCCTTAGCCTTTGGAGAACAGAAAGCAGTGATTTTTAGGGATGCTTAGGCTGGCTTCTGGGCTTGCAAACCCTTGCCTGGTTAAGTGTTCTCTGAGCAATCAAGACTGTCCTATAAACTGTTAAAAAATCTGAAGGTCAGGTGGATTAGAAGACCTCTCCTGGCAAACATTAGCGTTTCTTCTTTGAAATGCTCACTCTGAGATTTTTAGGAAATTTTAATTGTTCTGTGAAGCTAGACCTTAATTCTGTTTCAGACGGAATTTGTGTTAATTCCCTCCTGAAGGATTAGACATCTGTGTTGATTGAGCAGGCTTGACCAGTAGCAAGTGAAATCAATGCAGTTTTGACTCTTCTCTCCGTTTTATTAGCCTTAGAGAAGCTTTCATAATTGGATTAGGTTTAAATTTAACGGCCTGTTATTGTGCTCACGTGGATCTTGTCTATGGGGCAGTATAATTAAATGTCCAATTCCTCTTTGTGATGTAGAAAAGGCATTGAAACTTTATAGTAGAGTGGAATAAGATGAAGCAAGAGATGCTAATTGAACTCTTGCACGTACATAAAGAATGTACAGGTGATGCTATTGTTATTTTTGTACCTAGAGAGAGCCGGTTTGAAACCTTTGTGGTCAGTGCTCTTTTTTTGTGTGTAACCAGGCTAATGTGAACAGATTGTACAGGCAGATTTGGAAGGCAGGTGTTCACATCACAAAACCACTGCTGTAATTGCCATGGTGTGCTGTGCCATTCTCAAGCAAAAAGGTCAAAAGTAAATGGACGCAAACTAATTTTTACCTGTATTAGTGGTTCTTTGAGGTCATCTTCTGGCATGCTTATGGTTTAGTATGGGGAAAGTTGCTCACTGATGACAGATAATCTATTTTACCTTTCTCATAGAAACAAACCTATGCTTTCTCAATATCTAGCATCAAATTTTCAGTCGCCCCAGTTTGCTTTCCAGTTTTGAATGTTTGAAACCTCTTGGTTACAGGTCTAGGAACCACCTTTTCACAACTGCACTTCCTTGCTGTAGCATTTTGCTTTTTCATACATTAGATATCTTTATGATCTCTCTCTCTCTTCAGACTTAAAATTATGGTATGTATTGGCTAAATGCACATTTTTCCCTACTAGTCCGCAGGAAGTAAGAATCTAGTTCTCGGCTTGCCCATTAATACCTCAATTCAAGAGATACGCTTGGCTTCACTTCTCAGACCTGGATATCACAAGGTCTTTCTCCCAAGTGAAAATATATCTCCTGAAGGGGGATTTGTGGGTAGAGAGGAGGTAAGCTATTTCTTGTACAGCTCTGACTGCTTGTTCAGATGGCCATCACCTGCACATAGGCATACACAGACTTATATTTCAGATGCAAAATACATGAAACTTCTGACTTAAGAACACATTCCTGAGTCACTTAAGCTTGTTCTTTATTTAGTATATAATTTGTTTTGGAGTTAGAAGTGTGTCTTCCCGTTACCCGCTCGGATGATGATGTTCTAAAACAGCTGCATTTGGGGTTTTGCTTTACTTTATGAAGCTTCAAAAAGAAATGTACTGATGATAAGTGATTTTCAACATGCACAAGGGGAAGGGGAGTGGGCTATTTCAAGAGATTAAAGAAATTCTCTTCCTTTTTTCCCTTTATCACAGATGCCCGAGATGTAGAGCAATTGAGTAAGAATAACATTACGCACATTCTTTCAATCCACGACAGTGCCCGCCCTATGCTGGAGGTAAGAGGTGTGGGGGACTCCATGGTAAATCCTTACTTTGCAGTTGACTGTTATAGTCATCTTGGGGTTAATTTCTTGTTCTGTACAATTGGTGTTTTGAGACCAGTTTTCTTGTGGAAATGTTTGACAGCTGTAGTTTTGGGATCCAGTCACAGATTTCGTTCTTGCTGCTATTGTAACAACAAGAAATCTAGCTGACAAAGGAAAGGACAATTACAGTGTCAATCAATATAACACAATAATGGGATTGTGTTATTAATTTAATAGTAAAGGTAAGTTTCCTTCTGTGTGGAGTTCAAGCATCACATAAACAACAACATTCCTTTTCCCCATTACCAACCCTTCTTTGTACTTGGGCCCCTTTCTTGAATCTTTATAGCAGATGGTTGTATAAGAGGTTTCCAGTCCTTTTCTGTGTAAAATAGCCTTATTTAGGCTTGGGGTGTGGGACAAACCAGTGCTCCCTCATACAATACATCTAATATAGCAGAGGGTCTGTAGGTCTCCAGCACTTTAACATGAAAGTATTATTCCCCATTTTACCGAAGGGAAGCTGATCTGAAGAGCTGAAATGACTTGACTTGCTGTGATATCTTGAGCAGCGAAAGAGCTGGCATCAGGCTGCAGGTCTCCTGTGCTGGGCTGTTGTGCTTTCTTCTTTATGCCAGCTTACCTTGGAAGGAGGGGAGTTTGGCTGGGCTTTGCTACACCTTAAAATCTTGCTATTTGATTTATGTTAGGAACTGTTGTCCCCTTAAATTTGTTTGTTCCTTCCCTGCATTCCACTTTTCATGAAATACGGCAGAATAGTGGGTAGGGCAGTTGCTGGTGTTGCCCTTCAGATGCTGGTGGGAATCTCTGCTTTTCATTCTCTTCATGTAAAATGTCTCTAGTGAATTTAGTCCTTAAACTACAGAATTTCCACCTCTCCCAGGCAAGTCAATAGGTAAGCTGAACAAAAGGTCTCCCTAGTATGTCATGATTAAAACCAAAATCAAGTTAATGGTGAATTCAGGATTGACCTTGAACTGAGAAGTGTGCTGAAGCAGAGCTCTAGCTGTTGACTTTATTGTACTGTCCATTTGACTTCTGTTGTGCCTGATGCTTGTTAAGTGTGAAACATACTGAATTTCAAGCCTGCTCTTAGTTGAAGAGAGAAACAGTTGTACTGAATAAGGGGGGTGTAATGTTTCCTATAGGGTGCTGTTCTCTAAAATGAATAGAAGCTTGCTTTGTTTTATTATCATGATTAGAAAAGTAGGAAGGCTAATTATGGCACAGATCAGCTGCAGCCTCAGGCCAGTGTTTCTTGTGGTGGTGGTAGTTTTGGCAGCCCACACGCCGCCACCTCGCTTGTGGTGGTGCATCTGTGTGTGGGGCTGCATGGTAAATAGATCTGGGAGCTTTTGTGGGTTAAGTATAACCAAGTCACCATTTCTTCCTCTAGCTACCCCCACAAAAGACATGAAGGATTATATTTACCCAGATCTGCTCCCAGTCTGGTTAGCAGTAGTGTCTCAGAAGTTACAGTGGCATGGGAACAAGTAGTGGCTGGTTGAGGATGGACTTGCTTTATTCACCCCTGCATCTAAAAGAAATGTTTCTCCAACTGTGCCTTCTATTTTCTCAGCATGCAATATACTCCTTTATGTGCTGGTGATCTGGAAAACAACTGTTAAAACTTTTCTCCAGTTCCTAAAGTAGTGGAAGGATTGCAAGTTCCATTTGTTTGGGAGCTGAGCTGATTATTAATTACTTTATCATTCATGGTCTTACTGCGTTGCTTGTTTGCAAATAAACGCTTCTGCTTAGGAACAAGGGCCTAGAAAACATCTGTTAGGTTGTGTTACTTCCTTTGTTATTTACATCTTTGCCAGGTTGTAGGTAGGTTTGTTTACAGCTTGTGTATCCACACTGTGCTTGGGCTCGTTCTCAAGTCCACTGAAGTCAAATGGGAGTGCTTTCCCTGCGTGTCTCCCTTTTCCCCTTTCCCCCCAGATCTCACTCTTGGGAAAGTGAGGGCTTATATTTGTGTTCAGAAATCCATCTGATGTCATTCAGACCTTTAAACATGGAATTGCAGTGGTATGAGAATCTTTTTTTTTTCCCTAAAGTTCCCTGTTTTGCGTGTATTTATGTGAATGTTGATCATCTGTAAAAAGCTGCCTTTTCTTGGACTGCAGTAGTTGCATTTGCCTTTGCTAACAATATTTTATATCAAGTATTTCCTAATCAACCTATAGGAAATGCTACAAATATTTCATTAAACAAAGCTTTCTGTGCGAGCCATGGAAGGTGTTTTTAGATATTGAAAACTCAATAGTGTTGTAGTAACATGTTGTCAAAGAGAATTTGGCCTTTTTTTGGCTGTCTGTGGAACAAACAAATATGGATGCATACCATAGCTCTCAAAGAGGTGACAAATTGCCCACATCTTGCTTGTCAGGTTTTGGAGTTTCAGTAATGACTGTTTTGATGCAATAATATTTCTGATACAGTACTTAAAGCTGATAGTGGTGGCTAGAGAATGAAAATGACCAACTTGGCTTCATTGTCCATACTCAAGAAATAAAAGCAAATGTCACTGTATATGGTGAACACCAACTTGTTACAGATTGTAAAATTATTTTCTACTTTAATAACTTACAGCATTGCCCCTCTCTGTGATGTTACAGACCATTTTTACTTGATTGTGATTAAAATATTCACAGTACCTTTTAAAAAGTGTGCTTTTCTCTGTGCTTTATATACTGCAGTATTTGGATATATGTTGCTTTAGTTCTTCATAGCTTACCAACTTACTAGAAAATGAATGAAGAGTTTCACAAAAATATATTTGTTATATTGGTTTAGGTTTCATAGTGTGTGCCTGTTGAGGTAAATTAAAACAAAGAAGAATGTTTTCTTACTGAAATTTGGTCTTGGACATTATCTCAATGTTCATTTACAAACCCTCATGGATGTCTGATTTATGGGTGGCTCACAATCAAAGTTTGGCCTTAGGAAGTTATTGCATACTTTCATGCTGGAATAACTGGAAAAAGTAGGTTTAAAAATCAGTTGGATTCTAAGACTTTTTATACCTTTAGACATTGGCAGCCTGCATTAAGTACAAGACATAGAACTGTTTTGTAAGACTTCAAGTGATTTAGACTGGAAGGAATTTGCCAAAATCTGGCCTGAACTACATTGCAGTATTGCTCCTTAGTTCTTTTTGTATAAACTGTTTCAAGGAAATTTGTCCTTGAAAAACCAAACCTAAAATTAATTTATATTTAGAGAGCATCCTAAGGCTATTATTCCAATGAAGTACACCATTGTTACACAGGATCTTAACCACTTAGGTAAGCATTAAAGGACTGCATGCCGCGTGGAACAAGGTTTGTTATTTCAGATGTACAGAAGTCACCCCCTGAGTAAGAGCGGTGTCCAAGAGCATCATGTGTGTTCCTGCAGAGGCACAAAGGCAATTGCCCTGGTGAATCGAGTTGGCTCCTCCAGAGCACTTTGGACGGCTGCCCATGGAACACTGACAGATGTTTTATAAATCTACGCAAAAGCCATATACAGAGGAGAATAATTAGGTTTCTTGCCACCTGCTTTCTGATTTATTTCTCAGCTAGTTCAGGTTTTAAAACCTCTGTTCAGAATGTGAGAGACACTGAAAGGTGGATGAGGGAAACGGCTATCTCAGAGTGTCCTTTACATAACAGTGTATCTGGCAGTGACTTTGTTGGATCTCTTGGTAGTACTCCCTTTTTAAAGCTAGGACAAACAGCTGTTGGGGTTGGAGGCCAAAAGGTCTGACTGTTGTGATATCCATATATCCTAACCAAGCTGGTGCGGTCAGTCAGAGCCCATGGAGAATGTGGAAGCACTTTTAACTAATCCTGAGCAATTCTTCCCCCTGTTGCTTCAAAGGATGCCAGCTAGGTGTTACTCTGCTGCATTAGATCTGGAGTCTAACAAATTTTGTTCCAATTGACCTAAGTGAAGGAGGTAAAGGCAAATCTTGTTAATCTTGCCTATGAGAATCTGGCTGCAGATCCATTGAAGCTAAGAGTGTTTCTCTGTGGATTTACCAGGTGTTTGACCCTGTTCTGGGGGATGTTACATGGAGATGAATGTGGGCCCAAACCAAATAGGATGTTGATGTGGATTGTGCAGCTGCTTAAAAACAGCTGCATCCCATTCTGGAATGTGCGTGCTGTGGTGGACAGTTATGTCCAAGCAGCTGAACTTGCAGCATCCTTAATTCTCACTCTTACCCTTCCCCTCCGCCCCCCAACCACACACACACACGCTTAAATACTGGCAAAAGCAAGAATGCTTCCTCCGGTGCATTTGGCAGCGATTGCTGGGTGTAATGCAGGAAGGAGTACAGCCAGAGTCCTGGGGGAGGAAGGGGTGCTAGGACGTCTTATGGTCAGACAGTCATTCAAGCCCTGTCCCAGAGATGTATCATCCACAGAGAGAGGCAGGGATGGTCTGATGACAGTCTGTGGGTCCCCATGCAGAGAACCCACTGTAGAGAACAGCGTGATATGCGTGGCTGACAAACGATGTCACACAGATTTGGACTGGAAGTAAGTGTCCTGGTTTCGGCAGGGGTAGAGTTAATTTCCTTTCTAGTAGCTGGTACAGTGTTTTGGATTTAGGATGAGAACAAAGTTGACAATGCGCCGATGTTTTAGTTGTTGCTAGGTAGTGCTTACACTAGTCAAGGACTTTTCAGCTTCCCATGCTCTACTGGCTGAGAAGGCTGGAGGTGCACAAGAAGCTGGGAGGGGGCACAGCCAAACTGGCCAAAGGGACATTCCATACCATGTGACGTCATGCTCAGTACATAAACTGGGGAAAGCTGGCCGGGGGGGGGGCGCTGCTCGGGGACTGTCTGGGCATCGGTCAGCGGGTGGTGAGCAATTGTACTGTGCATCACTTGTTTTGTGTATTATTATTATTATTATCATTTTATTTCAATTATTAAACTTTTTATCTCA